TCTTTCCGAAACCTTATCAAACGAAGCAGTCAGTTGCTTAAATGGGCCTTGTTGGCCAGAGGCAAAAATTTCAGCCCGAAGGGGATGCCAAAGGAGGAGCAAAACACCCCAGGTAAGAATTCGGCCTTAACGTTTTCTCTTTCTCCATCTCTACTGTACTTTCACTGTCCAGAAGAGTTTCTCAAAAGCGGAACGTCTATAAAGAACATGCCAAAATGGAGGTGATGAGAACGGCCCTTTTGTAGGCTTGTTCCATATGTTGCAGTAAGATTGCAAAGAAATGGAGTTTCGTAACTCGTAGGAAATAAGCGTGAAAGAAGACGTTGGGTCAGCTCCTGCCGCTTCCTAACTGACGTTCCACTAAATTGCTTTAGTGTGTCCCGCTACGCTTCAAAATTTTTAACACAAATACTGACAAAACTTTAAACTTATTTTTTATAAAAAAACGAAGAAATAAACCTCCTTTGTGGAGGTAAGCACTCATTTAAAAGCAGTTGCTGTTGATGGGGAGCGCTACACATTCTCAGACAGTTCGACAGTCATATAAAAGTACGATTTAGCTACTTCATTTGTGCCACCGAATTACCTGTGAATGTTTGGCAGCTTGGGAGCAGGCAAGCGTTGGTCTACCATTACTTAGCTCCCAATTGTGCTTCTCCATTATCTCTTTTTGTTCAACATTATTTTATGCAATCGAAAGCTGTCTACTTTTTGGATGGTATGGCGTAACTTGCAAAGGCACACAACTTAGATAAAAGGCCTCAGTAAATAGGTTTTCGTTTGTGAAATCTCGAAGTATACATAATTTTTATCTAAATTTAAACGTCCAGGTCTCCCTTTAGAATCTCGTGAAGATCTCCTCTTTAACTAAAAAAGGAGTAAATCAAGGTCAAGCCACGTTGTGCTCACCTGCGCTAATACCATCACTTCAATCCCACCTCCATGCGCTGTAAAAAGCGCCAGAAAATAAGGGAGAATCTCAAATCATTAATTGTCTTTAACCACGTGACAAGAGCAACAGGTTGGAAACAGGTGCCCTTACAGGACGGTAGAGGCTGTGGAGTGAACAGAACAAATTCGCTTTCCAGCCGTTACCCGGTGGTGAGAAATGACGACAGATGGACCGCATGTAGTTGAGCCCTATCCCATATAAGCTAGAGTACACTCAAACAGATGGAAGAAGGGGCTAAGTCATCTTGATGAGGAATGGCATTTGTACTCCAGAGTTTGCTAACAAAATGAACATTGCTACCCTTAATTAAAGGGCATCATGTAATTTCTTCTCAAAGACGACCCCCCCTCGAGGAGAGTAAAGAACTATGCATTCAAAAGCATAAGAGTAGCTAAAGGTAGAACTATTACTTATACTGATGTTGGTTGGCACCTGCGAGCCATCTCAATGACATCAATTTCTTATAAAAGTCGTTTGACGGTCACCTCACGATGTTAGTCTACACACTCATTAGCACTAAAGTAGATTACCTGGGAAATAGCAACTTAGTCTTTTACAAGCACACTGTTAGCTAGTTCCAAATTCATTAAAATGAGAGAAATCAAGCTGTAAAAACGTAGCAACTTTCGGCAAAATTACTTATTTGACATGGCTGTTTTAGTTGAAGTTAAATGACAGACCTGAAGGCTGGCACACAGAGTTGCTATTTCTACGCCCATGTCGACTGTGCACGCATTTTTGAGCTCGGGAACAACGAGGTCATAATAGACCTTGAATTGGCCAACTAGGTTGGAGATATCAGCGCTGACCTTTTGATTGTTCAGTCGGATAATCTCCATATTGGTTTTCACAACATCCAAAGCGCCTTGTAAGTGGTTTCCAGTCTGCACAAGCCTTTGTACACCATAATCTTGCAGCAACTCATCAACGGCGATTGATACACGACCTTCCAGAAGAGTCTGAGAGGAAAAATACCCAAAAATGGTGATCTTCCCCACTGATTGATGTCTGAGATGCTAGAGTGCATGGTGACATTAGCACCGCTGTGAGAATTTTGAAATTGATGACTAGTCAGGATAATTGGTGTCCTACTCTGTAGAGCTTCTGCAGACAAATTTCAAGCAACAACTAAGGCTGGAAGACTTGAGCCCAAATAAGAGAATGACAGCAAAATGTGTGCTAGCTTTATCTCGTGACGCTGATTTCACATGTGACGGAGGCAGTTTGTGCCTATCCTCAAGTAATATGAGAGTTAAGGCGAACAGGAAAATCTAAGGAAGTGTTGTGTGGAGTCTGATTGGTGGAAAAAAGAATTAGTCGATGTGGAGTTTGTTGGATAAATAATCCAGCTGAGTGAGGGAGGATCCAATAGCATTACTGTCCTCACTAAAGTACGGTAAACTGCGTACATAAATTTTTTAAAAGATTGCAAATACTAACAACTACACAGTAAAGCTAGATGATGGCCATTTTTATGAGTAATTTCTCAAAACTGTGATTCATTTCGTGGTCACTAAGTAACACCTCACGACCGGTCTCCTCCAGAGTGATGCTTTGGTGGTCAGCTTTGACGGTGTCAGTGCCGTCACTGCAGTGACCATTTCATTTTCCTAGCCTGAAGATAATTTAACATCTGAGTACCTTTAAACTCTTTAAGGGTCTACACCTTAACGCTCATACAGAAAAGAAATAAGTTAAATAATTATATCAGACTTCTTCTCTATGTTGGTTTTAGTTTAAACCTCCATTGTAGAGGGAATAGTTTTTACGAGAGACGATACTGTCGGTTTAAGTCTTGCATTGGATACCACAGAGATTTTGCACACAACTTTTGACCATTTTATGGGCATGAGGGAGACTAATTAAGGGAGGAAAGTAAGATAGTTACATACCATGAAGGTGGTGTTTACTTGAATTAAGAATTCACCACTAGATGCGTTCCCAGAGGCTGTGCCTGATGTGAGAAAATCGAGAGTCTGGGCAAAGGCATAGTTAAGACCGTCTATCAAGTTGAAGTTTTCTCCATTGAAGGTGGCCGGTGTGGACGTGAATTCGTCTTTCGCCAGAATTTCAGTGACGAGGTGGCAGCAATAAAAGAGGATGCAGATCATGACCACGAGGGCGAGGAGAAGCACAAAAGTGACCACAAAAACTGCCACATGGTGAATGAGAAGTCTGTCAGTGCTTTTTTCGGAGGACTTGCTGGACGCAAGAGCCTGAATGTGGAGCTTTTCCAGCAGGTAGGGATCGTGAAAGATCTTCTTGTCCTGCTGCAACTTCAAAGCAAATGTAGGTATAGGATTGACTATTCTCATCTTTAATCTTAGAATTCTGGATAATCTCAGTGCAAGTTGTGCATCAATTTCCCCTACTTTTAGTTTGACAATTTAAAGGAATCGAGTTGTCAAGAAGAGGCTTTCGTCTCAAGTCACACGATGCTGTTCTGGTCACTCCCAGTTATTTCTGAACAGAGAGGAGCTACACAGCAACTTTATAAGAAGCCCAACTAAACGCTTATACGATGCTCTAAGGCAAGAGATTTTGGCTGACCGCTGCGCATCTGGCCGACCTTGACACCACCTCTTCCCTAACAGAAGGATATAACTGGAGAATTTTATCATCTCAAAGTGATTTTCCTCCAAGAAATGCACTTTTCAAGGTCAATTAGAGTTTCCAAGCCCAGTAAACACATCCCACTTTAGACCGCTTGACAAATGCCATTCGCGCAATGAATGAAGAAGAGTCATCCTTTCGAAGACACCTTGGGGATTTCGATGAACTTTTATGAGTGCACACATTTCTAAGGGAGTGCTATTTTATTCACGCCCATGTTATGCATATTTTCTCCCTCCTAAACACACGCATGATTTGCTTTGCCGGACTAAAAAGGTGGCAATGGGCCGGATTTATGTTTACTGCCCCAGCCTTGTTGCTATAGCCACATATTCTACAATACTGTAAAGTGGAAATGTGCACCTCAACCGCACTACTTGGCAACAAAATGTGCGTTGCCATTGGGTTAGTCGGCTTGAATTTAGTGCCCAACAAATCATAGAAGGAGGCGAGCCACTCCACCAGAAAGCTAGAGGACTTCGGGTAGGGAAAGGAGAATGAAGGAACTTGGAGGAAATGCAAAAAAAGGCAAAAAGACGCCTTGCGG